GGGGGAACCTAGTAAAAATAATGTGCTTCATGTAATTGTAGATTAATGATATCAAAATAAAATAAATAAATAAATAAAAAGGGGAAAAAAAAGTAAGGCAAATAAAAAGTCATCTACAAAGAAACCAAGTATTAGAATAACAGCTGATTTAACAACAATAATGGATGTCAGAAGAGAGATAAATGTTATCTTCAGTAATGGAAACTGTCAATTTAGAATATACATATCTAGCAAATGTATGTCACAAGAATGAGAAGAATTTTAATCTGAAAAATTGTTAAAAAGAGTTTGATATGAAGCAGGCCTACACCATAAATAAAATCCTAAAAGATGAATGTCAGGAAGAGGGAAATTCCCAGATGAAAGGTCTATAATGAAAGAAAAATTAAGCACAAAGCAATAGCTACATGAATGAAAACAAACACTGCTTGTACATTCTGGACAATCATAGAATGTTAAGTTGGAAGGGAATTAAGTATCAAAGTTAAAATGTTTCAGAGTCCTTGTGTCTGTGAGAAGAAAGCCTAGGAAAATGGTTTAACTTTAACTTTAAAGTGTGCATGATAAAATATTTAATGTAACCACTAAAAGAATAAAAATGTGTGCACAGTTTCCAAATTGGTAGAGAAGGTTAAAATTAATTTAAAAAACTTTCATTCAATCAAAAAAATCCAAAATAAGGCACATAAAAGGGAAAAACCATCATATATATAATTTTCTGTGATAGGAGAAAAAAAATCACAGAAAAGGTGACATAAATAGAAATCACATAGCGACTGTAAGAAACAAGACCACTTATAGGAATAACTAAAATAACTGTAGAAGAACTAAGCTTATCAGTTACAGCCAAAGAGAGCAGACTGGACTTTTAAAAACCTAGCCACACTGGCTATGAGAGATACACCAAACAGAAAGCAACTGAAGGGTTGAAAGTAAAAGTACAGGAAAAGAAATGCCACTCAAATACTAACTAAAAGAAAGCTGGTGTAGTTCACTAATATTAGACAAATTAGACTTTATGACAAAAATTAATATTAAGGATAAAAGAAAATCACTAGATAAGGATAAAGGTTATTAGGGATTCATTATTAAAAATTAATTAGTGATATAAAAATCTTAAGCATTTACTATGCACTTCAAAAAATATCCTCAGAATATATAAAGCAAAAATAGGCAGAATTGTAAGGAGAATCAGACATAGTCAATGTAATAGAGGGAAATTTCAGCACACCTCTCCAAGTTTTTCTCATCCCCTTCCTAAACATTAATCCATCAAGCAAATTTTTTTTAAAAAGTAAAGCTATAGGAGATGTGAACAACAGAGTTAATAAGCATGACTTAATGATCTATTAATACATTGGAACCAGTAAACATTCCTATCAAACTGACAATGAACCAGGCCACAAAATGCATCTTTAAAAATATCATATAATTAGTATCACACAAACTGCACAATCTTACCTACTGTTGTTAAGTTGAAAAATAATTTTGAAAAATATAAACTTAAAAACCATCTGTTCAAAAATTTAAAAACACAGCTCTGAGTTAAGGAATAAAATTAATCATAATATAAATTAGAAAATAAGTGAAAAGAAGAAACTATTATATGTTAAAATTCTAGGAGCAGCTAAAATACTACTTAGGGAAATATATGGCATCAGATGCTTTCAGGTAAAGCCTTTTAAAAAAAAAGAACTAAACAAAATAGATTTTTTTAAAAAACAAAGACAGTAAAAGAAATGTAGAAGTGAATTAAACATAAAACAAACTTATAATAGAAAGACCATCAAGCAAGAGATGTTTATTTGAAAAGGCTAATAAAAAATCTGACCTCTGAGAATAATCAAGAAAAAAAGGAAGATACACATAAACATATTAGGACTAAAAAGGGGAACTTAAGTTTAGATGCAGCAGAGATATAAACTAGTAAGAGAATACTGTAATTGTTTTAATAAAGTGTTCATACATTTGAAATCTTCAGCATAATGGACAAATTCCACCTGAACATTCTCACAAAGATAACACCAGATCCAGTTTCATAAGTAAATTCTATCAAACATTCAAACTTGCATAAACTCAGAAAAGAGAAAAAGAAATACTTCCCAACTACTTTTATGAACCAAAAATCATAACATGAAAGCCAGGCAAGGTAGGGCAAGGAAGAAAAAAACCACAGGTCAATACCACTCATTTATACAGATGCAAAAATTCTAAACAAAATATTGGAATGTACCAAAAGGATAATAAAAAGAAATCAAGTACTGATATATGCTACAAAATGGATGAACCTGGAAACATGATGCTAAGTGAAAGATGCTAGATATTAAGGTCACATATTGTATGATTCCATGTTTATGCAATGTCCAGAATAGGCAATAAGTTCCCGGAAAAGGACTTAGTAATTGCCAAGGTGAGGGCAGAATTAGAAGTGACTAATAAAAGGTTTGAGGCTTCTTTTTGAAAGGTGATGGAAATGCCTTTTAATTAGACAGTGGTGATAGTTGCACAACATAGGGAATATACTAAAATTACTTGTCTTTTACTTAGTATTGAAATTGGTTAAAATTACCAAGAAGAAAATACCCTGACCAAAATTAAGTTATGGCTATCTCTATGGGAATACAAAACGTGCCCTAAGTAATATTTCTATTCAAATCAAACAATCAAATTTTTAAAAAGAAGTATAACTTTCTCGGGGAGGGCAGGGAAGAAGGTAGTGAAATACCCAGACAGCTAGACATTTGCTACCATAACCTCCTCAAATCCTTTCAGGATTCTAAATCTCTAGGCAGCTCCAATAATTTATTCTTTCCAGTAGCACAAGGTTTAGGTATGCCAAACCCTATGGTCTGTTCTACTTTCAGAGAGTGACATTATATTATTAATAAGTAATAAGAACTGACTATGTAAGACAAATGGAATTTTTCTGTTGATTCAATTTTAGGAACAAAAGACACAAACTCTTCATAAACTGAAAAAGAAATCCTTTAAACAATACAAAATTTGTTTTCAATTTTTAAGTGGCAAAGCTTCAGTCTAATCCATTTTGTTCTGTTCATTACTTACAAGGGTGAAAAACCCAGATGGACTTTCTGTCACTGTCATGAAATTAAAAACATGTTAGATAACTTCGAAGTTTTACCTTGCAAGTTCCTTTGGTTTAAACTTCCACCATGTATCTGGTTCCCGGAAAAGGACTTTATATTTATGTTTCTGAGACTACATACAAAAAAGACAAACATATTTAAAAATAATTACTTCCATGAAATTAAATTGATTGTTTCCAAATTCATAGTATTTTAAAATTTAAAGAACCTAAAACATACTAACACACTTGATGAGTGTTTATTAAAATTGAAAAAAGCACAATCTCTTTGACATAGCAATTAACTTCTAGAAATCTATGCTACTGATAAATACTTATGTAAGAGTGCAAAAATATACACCAGGATATCAGGTTCATCATTATTTGCAATTGCAAAAAAATACAAACAACTCAGTAGCTATTAATATGGAACTGGTTAAATAAATGAAGGTACAACCATACAATGAAAATATATACAGTAATTTTTTAAATTCTGTTATTGAAAAAGTCCTTAGTATAAATTGTTAAGAAAGTAAGAAACAGAATTTCCACTTGGGTTTAAAAAAAAAGAATTATTCACACATTTATATATTCACAGAAAACTTCTGGAAAGAGTCTCAAAAATACTACTAAAACAACATAGAAAATATAGTTAATAATATGTAACAATTTTATACGGTGACATATGGTAATGAGATTTGTTGTGATGATCACTTTTTTATGTATATAAATGTTGAATCACTATGTTGTACACCTGAAACTGATATTATACTGTATGTCAGTTTTTTTCAATAAAAAGTTAATTGTTCAAAAAAGCAAGATGTACTCTTCCTGTCCTTTATCCCTCTACCAAAATGATGCTCTAAAAGAAAAAAAAACTACTCTTCAAAGCATCTACTTCAAGGGAGAACTTTAGGCATTCTTTTTTATGGTTTGTGTATTTATCATATACATGCATGACTTTTGTAATTTTAAAATTATTTTAAGTAATAGCTCATTCTATTTTTCAAAATTCTAGTATGGCTATAATCTAAAGGCCAAGCCCTACACTTGTACAGTAATCCATCCTCTCTCCACCTCAAGAATAACTGAGTGCGGCAATTCTCCCCTAACTTTGAAGCATCATTAATTTTTCCCTCCCTCCTGAATCAATCCCATCATATTCACTTATTTCTCCCATCTTACTTTTAACCTCACCTTCCAGTTTTCTTCTCATTTTCCTGCTACCATTTACATTCTCTTCTCCAATTCCTTTCCTTCTAGCCTCTCTTAAACCCACCCCAGATGGCTACTCTGCTGAAACTGGGCATCAAAACCATAAGTCACTTCCAAACTGAAAAATGCTGTGGTTAACTCTGAGTCCTCTTACTTGCCTCTCAACACGTATCAGTTCATCACTCCCTTCTCCTTACACTGTCTTCATTACACACTATTGCTTTTCCTCCTACTCCACTGGGTGGTGGTCTTAGTCTTTTTTGATAGTCCGTCCTTTCCACGCAGACCTCTTCTCACAATGGAACACCCGAAGACTGTTGGTCCTCTACTCTTGATCTACATTCACTTTCTTGGTAATGTGATTTCATTCCCTGGCTTTGAACAGCATCCAAATGGTAATGACTCTCAAATATATGTCTTTAGCCCTGAATTCACTCCCGAACTCCAAACCTGTAGGTCTATCTATTCAACAAACTTAATATATCAAAACCTAAACTTTTGAGATGCTTTATTCCACACAACACTTCTACCTGAACTTTTCTCCATCTCAGATGATGACACCCTCCAGTTACACAGGCCAAAAACCAACCTTAATGACATACGTTTAACTCCTCTCTTTTTCACATTCATATCAATCCAACAAGAAATTTCAGCAAGTTGTCTCTATTTTCAAAATATACCCAGAACCCAATCACGATTTATTGTTACTGTAAGTGTTACCAGGTTGATCTGAGCCACATAACCTCTTATAATAACCACCATTGCCCTCTCTAAGTCTCCCTGCTTCCATCCTTGCCACCCCCAGCCAAATCTATTCTTAACACTGCACTTTGGTGATTCTGTTAAGAATTCTGCTCAAAATCTCCTGTTACAAACTCAATGTCTGTTGTCTGTATCCCCTCAAACCCCATGACCTTGAAACCCCAATCACACCATATAACTATGTTTGGACATAGAGCTTTTATGGAGGTAATTTTGGTTAACTGAGATCACAGGATGGGGCCCTGATCTGTTAAGTGTCCTCGTAAGAAGAAACACCAGAGAACTCTCTGCACCATGTGAGAAGCAGCTATCGCACTGCTTCCCACCGTCAAAAAAATGCAGATGGCCTAGAGCCTAATTCAGCCCAACAACCAGTAGCCTAGGAGCTAAAGACAGTTTTTGGAAGTTAAAGGGTTGTTTTAAAAGAAAAAGAAAAAAAAAATATGCAACAGGGACTGTATGTGGCCCCACAAAACCTAAAATATTTACTATCTGGTGCATAAGGAAAATGTTAGCCAGCCCATGGCCAACATAAAAACAGTGTGTTCAATGCTGTGAAGAAGTAAGCCAGGGCACCAAGAATGCAGAAAGAGTCCCAACTTAGCTTTTTAGTAAATTAATGAATGCTAACTTCCTGAAAAGGTGACATCAAGATGAGCAAAAAAGGAATATGGCAAATTTGGAGAACTGAAAATAGTTGTTTACAGGATTCTGAATTTCTCAGAATAGCAAAATATCAGGACTAACAAAGGACAAACAAATTTTGATTCTGCCAAGTAAAAGCAATAAGAAAAAAAATTGTATATGTACATACACACACACACAAACATAAGATTATAACCTGTGTATACACACACAATTTAATACCACCTTTTCATAGAAGACATTTAAAAAATCTCATATTTTAAAAATATCAGCATTTAAAAATTTAATAAATTTAGATTTATGAAAAAAACTATTCCTATTTTTCTTATTTTGCTGAAGATAAAATGGGAGAAAGCTCAGTTAGACAATCCAAGGACTAACTGAGATTCATTTGTGTAATTAACATCCCCTAGTAATTTCAACCCCATTATTATAGATAGGACGATTTATGGTACAAACCAAAGCAACATATGGCTTCATTTCCCATGCCTGTAGGTTTGTATTATCTATTATTATAGGAGAAACCTTCTTCTCAAATGCTTCTTTTGCTGAAAAACACAAACAGCAAATGACAAATCACTTTTAATAATGACCTTAAGTATTATCTTGATATTTTAAAAATCTGATCTTGTTTTCATAATTTGAAAATCATAAATATGTGCTGATTTTACTCACTACTGTACTTCTAAGTACAGTATAGGTCACTGTTCACTAATACTGTTGATTAATAAATACTAAATAAATACCAAAGTTATAATCAGAGAAAATTATTAAAAAGTCTGATTTAAGTTTTATGTGGGTGTTACATTTATAAACAGCATAAATGTGGGAAAAAAGGTATCATTAAAAACAAGCAACATGGTATCCTAAATAAGATTCTGGATTGGAAAAGAACTTCAGTAGGAAAACTAAAATCCAAATAAAGTCTGCAGTTTAGTTAATGGTAATATACCAATGTTAATTTCTTAGTTTTGACAAGTGTACCATGGTTATACAGATGTTATATTAGAAGAAAATAGGGGAGGGGTACACAGAAACTGTAGTACTTTTGCAACCTTTCCATAAATCTAACATTTTTCCAAAATAAAGTTTAAAAACAAACAAGCCAAAAATAAATAAAAACACCAAAAAGAAAGGAAAAGTAATGATTTGAAATAAAGAAAATATATACTGTCATGCAAGAGATTTTCTTATAAAAATACCTTTCTTCCTAAGGAATTAGAACATTCAGAAAATTAATGATGAACCATGATAAATAAGCCTTGCAAGGAAATTATTCGGATGCTTTTAAAGTTCTGTATATGCTCTTACAACTCAATAACAAAAAAGACAAATAGTCCAATTTAAAAAACAGCAAAGAATTGAATAGACAATTCTCCAAAGAATCAAATGGCTGATAAACACATAAAAAATGCTCAACATCATTAGCCATCAGGGAACTACAAATCAAATCCATATGAGATACTACTTGAAATCCACCAGGATAGCCATAATCAAAAAGACAGATAATTACAACTGTTGGTGATAATGTGGAGAAACTGGAACCCTCATAAACTACTAGTAGAAATGGAAAATGGAAAATGGAAAACAGGCTTGCCAGTTCAAAAAAAGGTTAGACATAGACATATTTTCACAGCAACATTATTTATAATAGCCAGTAAGTGGAAACAACCCAAATGTCCATCAACTGATGAATGGATTAACAAAATGTGGCATAGCCAAACAATGGAATAGTATTTACCTATAAAAAATAATGACATACTGATACATACATGGATGAACCTTGAAAACAATATGCTAAGTGAAAGGAAAGCCATTTACAAAAGATCACATTATATGACTCATTTAGATGAAATGCCCAGAATAGGCAAACCCTGTAGAAACAGAAAGTAAATTAGTGGTTGCCATGGGCTGGGAGAGGTTGGGGAGAAATGAAGAGTGACTTACTAATGGGCACAGGACCTTTTGGGGGTGATAAATATGTTTAAAACTGATTATGGTGATGGCTGCACAACTCTGATATGCTAAATGCCTTGATTTGTATCTCCAGAAAGTTGTTTAAAAAAAAGAGTTCTGCTATTAACTTAATATTATTGCTGTCATTGTTGCTGCTATAAGGGTATGTTGAACCATTGCTAAGCACTTTTCATTTTCATTTAACCTTTACAATACTCCTGAGAGGTAAATATTATAAAGCCCTTTTATAGATTATGACATGGGGCCTTGGAGAATGTAATTGCACAAGATCACAAAGCTAATCACTGGCAAATCCAATATTGCTCTTTACCACATCATACTGTTCCCTTTATTTTCATTTGTGTTGGTATCTTCATATTTCTGAGTTCTTACTTTAATAATTAGTTCGAGAAAGAATATAGAAAAATTTAACCATGTCTGCAGATGGCAAGCTCAAGAATTGCCCTCATGGTGCACTTATCAAAAAAAGGCTAAATATTGTTTATGTCTATCAGGAAGAATTGCCCATATAAAATTCAAACTATTCATAAATAAATATTTCTTGATAAAACCATCTTCAGTGAATAGTTGCACTGATAAAGAAATGAAGGTTTTACCTATGCTGCCCCTGCAGATTCAGTTTGTGGAGACCCATTTTTACTTTCACACTATCCTCCATAAAAATTTAACCAATCTGGGAAGACTGGTGGTTAACAGTGCAAATTCCATTTTAGGAAACAGGAACCACAGCATACCAGACAACTCTAACCATCCTGAGCTATTCTGAGACCCACATAGAAAATCTGATCTACTTCTGATAAGATCTCCACTGATTAAATAAGATGTAAACGTGCCATGCAATGTTATAAGCATTTTACAAAAATTAACTCATTTAATCCTCATAACAATTCTATATGACTACCTCTTTTACCTCTAACTATGTAATGTAAGAATTGTTTTAATTTTATATATACTTATACAACTACAGTGAATTATAACTTTTAAAAAGTTGTATGTCTCCCAAAATACAAATACTAAGTGGATTTTTTTTATATTGCTCTTAGTATTACCCAGAATCTGATGTCAATTCTTACCACGATTCTGGTTCCATTCATGTGCTTCTCCTAAGTACTTTACATCAAATTGGTACTGTCCATTTATGTAGAAATAGTCATCAGTACTAAGAATGACTCCACTTGGATTATCCTCTTGCAAAGTCCTGCAAATGACAAATGGAATTATTTTCATTATCTTTTCTTCTAAATTCTCTCTTAAATTTTACAAGGTCATAGTCCAAATAAAAAACACAAAGAAGAGATTTTATAATCTAAATAAATCATATTGGAAACTCTCAAACAGTTTGACTCTCAAGAAACGTGACCTAAGGCAAGTCTATTTTACTTTATTAAGTTATTATTTCAGAAACTTTTTTAATGTTATGAAGTCCATTAGCCTTAACTATAAATGTTTGCAGATTAACAAATTTTTAATTATCAAGAACACCTGGTAACTGAAAATGCTGAAGAACTCTAATCAGTCACAGGCATCTCCCTGACCTGACCATTTGATAAAAACTGATCTACTTCACCAGATCTAAATTAAAGGCCACGTTCAGATAGGCAAATACCTTGATATTTAACAAATCTTCTCAAGTAGATATGCAGATCTTTGTATATGGCATTATAAATTCAGTGAGTATGTCAAAAACACCCAGAAATATAATGTTAGTAGACTGTTTTTTGTTTTTCTTTTAATTTTCCCTATTTATTTTTACATTGTTGAGTGGAAGAAAAAATTTAAAACATAATCTTCAATTTGTTTTTTTGTTTTTTTGGTATCATTAATGTACAATTACATGAGCAACATTATGGTTACTAGACTCCCCTTATTATCAAGTCCCCATCACATACCCCATTACAGTCACTGTCCATCAGCATAGTAAGATGCTATAGAATCACTACTTGTCTTCTCTGTGTTATACTGCCTTCCCCATCTCTCACCCCTATATTATGTGTGCTAATTGTAATGCCCCTTTTTCCCCCTTATCCCTCTCTTCCCACCCTTCCTCCCCAGTCCCTTTCCCTTTGGTAACTGTTAGTCCATTCTTAGGTTCTGTGAGTCTGCTGCTGTTTCGTTCTTTCAGTTTTTTCTTTGTTCTTAGACTCCACAGATGAGTGAAATCATCTGATACTTGTCTTTCTCCACCTGGCTTATTTCACTGAGCATAATACCTTCTAGCTCCATCCATGTTGTTGCAAATGGTAGGATGTTTTCTTCTTACGGCTGAATAATATTCCATTGTGTATATGTACCACATCTTCTTTATCCATTCATCTACTGATGGACACTTAGGTTGTTTCCATTTCTTGCCTATTGTAAACAGTGCTGCAATAAACATAGGGGTGCATATGTGTTTTTCAAACTGGGCTGCTGCATTCTTAGGGTAAATTCCTAGGAGTGGAATTTCTGGGTCAAATGGTATTTCTATTTTGAGTTTTTTGAGGAACCTCCATATTGCTTTCCACAATGGTTGAACTAATTTACATTCCCACCAGCAGTGGAGGAGGGTTTCCCTTTCTCCACATCCACACCAACATTTGTTGTTGTTTGTCTTTTGGATGGTAGCCATCCTTACTGGTGTGAGGTGATATCTCATTGTGGTTTTAATTTGCATTTCTCTGATGATTAGCGATGTGGAGCATCTTTTCATGTGCCTGTTGGCCATCTGAATTTCTTCTTTGGAGAAGTGTCTGTTCAGCTCCTCTGTCCATTTTTTAATTGGATTATTTTTGCTTTTCGTTTGTGGAGGTGCGTGAGCTCTTTATATGATTTGGATGTCAACCCCTTATCTGATATGTCATTTATGAATATATTCTCTCATACTGTAGGATGTCTTTTTGTTCTACTGATGGTGTCCTTTGCTGTACAGAAACTTTTTAGTTTGATATAGTCCCACTTGTTCATTTTTGCTTTTGTTTCCCTTGTTCAGGGAGATATGTTCATGAAAGAGTTGCTCGTGTTTATGTTGAAGAGATTTTTGCCTATGTTTTTTTCTAAGAGTTTTATGGTTTCATGACTTACATTCAGGTCTTTGATCCATTTTGAGTTTACTTTTCTGTATGGGGTTAGACAATAATCCAGTTTCATTCTCTAACATGTAGCTGTCCAGTTCTGCAAACACGAGCTGTTGAAGAGGATGTCATTTCCCCATTGTATATCCATGGCTCTTTATCACATATTAATTGACGATATATGCTTGGGTTTATATCTGGGCTCTCTAGTCTGTTCCATTGGTTTATGGGTCTGTTCTTGTGCCAGGACCAAATTGTCTTGATTACTGTTGCTTTGTGGTAGAGCTTAAAGTCAGGGAGTGTTAATTCCCCCTACTTTATTCTTCCTTCTCAGGATTGCTTTGGCTATTCGGGGCCTTTTGTTGTTCCACATGAATTTTAGAACTATTTGCTCTAGTTCATTGAAGAATGCTGTTGGTATTTTGATAGGGATGGCATTGAATCTATAGATTGCTTTAGGCAGGAAGGCCATTTTAACAATATTAATTCTTCCTATCCATGAGCATGGGATGTGTTTCCATTTACTGCTATCTTCTTTTAATTTCTCTCATGAGCATCTTGTAGTTTTCAGAATATAGGTCTTTCACTTCCTTGGTTAGGTTTATTCCTAGGTATTTTACTCTTTTTGATGCAATTGTGAATGGAATTGTTTTCCTCATTTTTCTTTCTGCTAGTTCATTGTTAGTGTATAGGAATGCAACAGATTTTTGTGTATTAATTTTGTATCCTGCAACTTTGCTGAATTCATATATTAGATCTAGTAGTTTTGGAGTGGAATCTTTTGGGTTTTTTATGTACAGTATCATGTCATCTGCAAACAGGGACAGTTTGACTTCTTCCTTATCAATCTGGATGCCTTGTATTTCTTTGCATTGTCTGACTACCGTGGCTATGACCTCCAGAACTATGTTGAATAAAAATGGGAGAGTGGGTATCCTTGTCTTGTTCCCAACCTTAAAGGAAAAGCTTTAAGCTTCTCACTGTTAAGTATGATGTTGGCTGTGGATCTATCATATATGGCCTTTATTATGTTGAGGTACTTGCCCTGTATACCCATTTTGTTTAGTTTTTATCATGAATGGATGTTGAATTTTGTCAAATGATTTTTTGGCATCTATGGAGATAATCATGTGGTTTTTGTCCTTCTTTTTGTTGATGTGCTGGATGATGTTGTTGGATTTTCTAATGTTCTACCATCCTTGCATCCCTGGGATGAATGCCACTTATCATTATAGATGATCTTTTTGATGTATTTTTGAACTCAGTTTGCCAATATTTTGTTTAGTATTTTGCATCTATGTTCATCAGGGATATTGGTCTGTAATTTTCTTTTTTTGTGGTGTGTCTGCCTGGTTTTGGTATGAGTGATGTTGGCCTCATATTCCCTCCTCTTCAACATTTTGGAAAACATTAAGGAGGATGGGTATTAGGTCTTCACTAAATGTTTGATAAAATTTAGGAGTGAAACCATCTGGTCCAAGTGTTTTGTTCTTAGGTAGGTTTTTGATTACCAATTCCATTTCCTTGCTGGCAATTTGTTCAGATTTTCTGTTTCTTCCTGGGTCAGCCTTGGAAGGTTGTATTTTTCTAGAAAGTTGTCCATTTTTTCTAGGTTATCCAGAGATTGTTAGCATATAATTTTTCATTCTTTGTATTTCTGTCATGTCTGTAATGATCTGTCCTTTCTCATTTCTGATTCTGTTTGTATGTGTAGACTCTCTTTTTTTCTTGATAAGTCTGGCTAGGGGTTTATTTATTTTGTTTATTTTCTCAAGACCCAACTCTTGCTTTCATTGATTCTTTCTATTGTTTTATTCTTCTCAATTTTATTTATTTCTGCTTTAATCTTTATTATGTCCTCCTTCTACTGACTTTGGGCCTCATTTTTTCTTCCTTTTCTAGTTTCATTAATTGTGAGTTTAGACTGTTCATTTGGGATTGTTCTTCTTTCCTGAGGTAGGCCTCTATCGCAATATATTTCCTTCTTAGCACTGCCTTCGCTCGTCCCACAGATTTTGCAGTGTTGAATTATTATTGTCATTTGTCTCCATATATTGCTTGATCTCTGTTTTTATTTGGTCATTGATCCATTGATTATTTAGGAGCATGTTATTAAGCCTCCATGTGTTTGTGGGCTTTTTCATTTTCTTGGTGTAATTTATTTCTAGTTTCATACCTTTGTGATCTGAGAAGCTGTTTGGTACAATTTCAATCTTTTTAAATTTACTGAGGCTCTTTTTGTGGCCTAGTATATGATATATACTAGGCCACAAATGGATATATGAGATAAAATATTAAGCACTGAGCATACATAAATGAACAAAAAAGACAAAAATTCTTGCACTACATTCTAGTGAATGTTCACTTGGTCTTACCTTTTATTACTTCTACATTTATCCTCTCTTTCATCACTAAGTTTTCCCTTCTCTGTCACTTCTTCCTTTCCCTTTAAATACATACCTATCTCAGCTATCTTCAAAATTTTTAACCACACTCTAAGGACCCCTTTCAGCGATTACTCGACTTCTCTCCTTCCCTTAACTGCTTTATTATCAATGCTTTCTTAACCATTTGTATTCCACCTTTGTAAAAACAAAGCTGTTTTTAAGATCGCCATTCGTGACCTTATTTTCAGTAAATCCAAAGCCTTTTTTCATAGCTTTTGTCCTTGGGTTGGCACACTAGCTTAATACTGTGGGCCATTCTCTCTGAGAAAACTCAGCTTCTATGTCTCTACACTTCGCAGTTATTTCTCTCTATTCATTCAAAAAATACATGTAAGTTCCTAGTGTGTGACAAGCACTTCTTTCTCTTCCCATTCTCTAAATGTACTTACTGCCTTTGGCTCCAAGGTCCCTGAATCCTAGTTTCTCAAATCTCTGTCACAGCTATATTACCTTTTAAGATATACTCCCCTTTCATTCCAATCTCTTTCACAAAATGCAGCACCATGACTGATTGTAATATCCATGATATTACACTAAAACATTTTATTATTGTTGGTGTTATTAAATCAATTGAGAAAGCCTGTAATATGTCTATAGAATATGCTTATAAGTATATGATTAGAGTATGTGTAAATTTATTGGAAGATAAATCCAGACAAAGAAAATCAGGAAAACAACTAAAAATGAGCTCATCAAAGACATTCCCAAGTATATGCATACTCACTAATTCTAGATGCACCCAGGATCAAAGAGAAAAGACCCAGCTAAGAATAAAATAGGGCAAAGAGTTAAAATTTGGAAGAAAAAGGGAAAAAAAAAAAAAGAACTGGCAAGTAAAAGATATTAGATGTAAATCTTCTGGAATTTAAAAAGGTGGGTAGGAAAGACTTTGGAAACAATACTCTTAAAAGTGCCACTGGAAAACACAATAAGGCTGCCTCTAACCCCAACTCCATTTTCCCAGACCAAGGTAGGCACAACCCACCTTACCTACAAAAGAGACACAAATGGATATATGAGATAAAATAATCGAGGGTGCTTTTGCAACAAATGAATCATTGAAAATTTGAAATTCTCTGACTACCAGTGATTCATCCCATGCTTTCTTCCTTCAAATCACACATACCTAAAAGCATTATTTAACAGCATGTCACAATAACAAATTTCTAACTCAGTAGAACTCATATTTAAAACATCTTTGAATTTAAAATCAATTATGGACCTTAACTCTATAATGAAAGTTGAATTCATCTTTCTCCCACTCAAATTAGTTCTCTTCCACATGAAGCTATTTCTGTTGATTTCAAAAGCTTACAAATTGGAATCATCTTTTTTTCATCTGTCTCTCAAAATAATATTCTGAGATGAAAGAATTCAATAAAAATTTCTGGAGAAAACATTGGTGTTAGTTATAAAGATTTAAAAAAATCAGTAAAAAGAAAATATTTTATGGGTTACTAAACATCTCTATTAAGCATTTCACCTATTCATACTCTGTTATAAATGTTTAAGTTCATGCATTATATATTTTTTAAAACTCAATTAAATCTCATACCTTGCCAGAAAAGATTTTCCTGATCCCGGAAGCCCTCTGAGAAGAACAAGAACTAGTCCAATATAAGATGATGTCTTCTTTCTTACAACCTGAGAAACTGAAGTTTCTTGTACTTGATAAGCATTTGTTCCCTCTTTATTTCTCCATACCTTTGTTGGAGAAGTGTGAGAAATAACTGGGGGAGGAAACGTATAGTTGACAGGTCTCCAGTGTGTAGTTGTGGTTACAACAGGAGATACAAAGCCATGGTTTCCTTGAAAGAGGTCAAAAGCAGGAATCATTGGATTCCACAATGGTGGAGGTGGAGGAGGAGGCAGCAGGAGAGGGAGAGGGGTAAGTACTGGGCAGTAATTCACATCCTTCCCCTTTGGTAGCAGTTCATTATGTTTGTGTGGCTTGAAACTGAATTCTTCAGAAGGCACAAACACATCAGGGACAGAAGGAGATTGCTGATCCCCCCCTATATCTAGCAAACCATGCCCCGGATTTTGCACAATAAGGTTTAAAGGAGCCTGAGGTTCACTGGCATCCAAATTTACATGGGCTTGAGAGACCTGAGTCTCAACACACTCAGATTCTAAAAGCTCTTTCTCTCTTTGATTGAGACTGCTACAACCCACTATACTGTCATTTGCTACATTTAAAGAACTGCTGAGAAGGCAATCTTCCAGTGCCAATGTGTTATCCTTTATAAAACTTTTGGACTCATTCAAAACTGACTGTGACATTAAGGGGTCTGAACTTAACAGAGAGGCTGAATTCTCTGAATTTTCACTGCTCAGATCTATGTTTTGTGTAGAAAGAATGGGAGTCGTAATACTTGAATCTGAATTTATAAATGCACTTGGGTCACTAAAACTGTTAACATCTTGCAAAGGCAAAAATGGGTATACTTGGTCATTAGGAGAAGAGTTCAGTTTCTCAAAAGCATTCTGTATTAAGGAATCCAAGTCTTCAGTTAGCTGCATATCCAAAAATGAATCCATTTTTGAATCTTCATTCTCTTCTTCAGGACACTTTTCCATTATTTCACGTCCTACAGCACTTACTCGGTTCTCAGAAGCAATGAAGCTTTTTGAAGATGATTCTTCTATCGTGGCATCAGTCGCAGATAATTCTAATAAACAATCCATGGCATTTTCAACTGTATAATAACAAGAACAATAACAACAATAAAATATATATTTATGTACTGAAAATAGTAAAATATGTTTGATTAAAATCCACTTAAAATTATGCTGGATTTTACAGTGAATGAAATACAGAGAAATTTATAAATATTGAACTCATTTTTTAAAGGTTAATCTTTTACTAATATACCAGCCTGTTTTAGTGAAGGGCTAGATGATGGAAACATGCAATGTGTTAGTTTCAGATAATGTTAGTTTCAGGCACATAAACCACCATCAAGTAGATATTCTCTGATGAATTTATTGAGTAAATGCAAATATATCTGTAATTGTATATATTAGGTTTTATTTATAAAGATCCTAAAACCAGCTGATTTATTAAACAAATACCTACTGCATGTCCTTTTCCTTTTAAGTATTAAGTGTTTTAAGTACTCTCTTAGTAAATCTAATCTGTCAATATGGTCCATGCTATGAATTTCACTTAATACAAACAAAATAAGTATGAGCATGTACTATTATTTATCAGGCATACTCTGTGCAAAGATGAGTAAGACACAGTTTTTACTACACTCAAAGGATTTTTTCAATCTAATGGAAGTAATTAAAGATAATTAAATTAGATGACAATTAGATATAATAATATATTAAATGCATACTTTTAGTACTATACATATGCCATAGCAGCCATATATAGGAGAGCAAGGAACATTTCACATAAGTTGATATGTGAACTGGGACTTAAATATTAAAAAGAAACTTGTCAGACACAGAAGGGAAAGACAAAGCCAGTCTTTAAAACACAAAGGATGTCTTAATACAGAGAAACTGGTTGGAGTGTGGGCACACAATAATATAGTGGGGATAAGAGAACAAATTGGACAGGGATATTAAGTGAAATTGGGTAAGATCCTGTATGTCATGGTGAGAAATATCAACTTTATTTTTTAATGGAAATTGAAGGAAAACTACCAGTCATAGATAGCAATTGGGCTAGAAGCCATATACATATCACCTTGCTGAATCCTCAAGTAATACTAGGAGGTATAATATTCCTAGCAAATAGTTGAAGAAAATTAAGTTCAAAAAGTTCATTCACTTGGCCCAAGTCACACAAATAAGTAACAGAGCCAGGACTGGTATGTCTGACTCCAATGCTGAGCTCTTTCTTTTATAACAAACAGGAAGTCATTAGAATTGTTAAACATTTGAAGTTTGGTTTGTTTTTGTGTTTTGTCATGTTTTATTTTAAGGAAGATAAATATGGAAAGCATAGCACAGTAGGTTAACAGCTCTGGTCTGGAGTCAGAACACTGACATTTAAATCTCTACTTGCTGGCTATGACACTCTGCACAAGTTACTTAACTTTCCTAAGCCTTGATTTTCTCCTATGCAGTATAGGGATAATAAAAATACCTACCTCATAGGGTTGCTGTGAGGATTAAATGAGATAATCCATGAAAAAGTGATGTACACAAGGAATGGCACCTAGTAAGCACCCAATTAATGTTCCCTTAAGAAGAAAAAAAAAGAGGGATTGAAGGGGGCATGCCTGGCAGAGAGACCAGTTAGGAGACTATAGCAATATTACAAAGGCCAGAAACCCTAAATATGGAAAAAAGAAAAAAGAAAAGCAAATATAAGATGTATTTCTATGAAGAAAAATTGTATGATAGAAAACCACAAGAGAAAAGATCAACCAAAAAAAATTTGTGTATATAATGAAAAATAGTATTAAGTAAATATAAGTGAACGATCAAGATGTATGTATGTGCATGTATGTATGGATATGTGTGTATACATACATACACACATATATGAATATGTGTGTATGAATATGATATATATATATCACACAAATGTCCTTACAAAGTGTTGGAAAAAATTAGATGGTATAAAATGGTATGAAACAATGAAAAACAGAAGAAACATTAATAAAAATTATTTACAAAATGCTCAAAATTTCTTTTTATTTAGAAAAACACAAATTAAGGAAAGGTGAAATTTTATTCCTATTAAATTCTTAAAATACTACTTAATGCTATGGTTAAACCATTATACTTATACAGTGCTGGTGGTTTACCAATCACCACACTTCTTTGGTAAGCAATTTAGCAGTGTTTCCAAGAGGTGAAAACTGTTCTTACCCTGTGACACAAGAAAATAAAACTCTGGGTCTAAGAAAAAAAGCCAAAGAAGGAAAAGAATATATATACCAAGATACCCTCTGCAATTTTAGTTATCATGAAACATTTAGATATAATTAAATAAATTAGAGCACAACTCAGTGGAATATTAGAAAGCTTTAAAAAATAAATTTAAAGATTACAGCAACACTGAAAAAATGCCTCTTAAGTTTAAAAACCAGAATATAAAATTTCATCAATGCTATTATTCAAACTATTCAAGATATCAGTATTTATGAACAAGGTGTAGAGAAGATCCTGGAAAAAAGAAATGTTTTTTATTAGGATGTAAGGGTAATATATTTTTTTTGCAATTCCTCATGGCTGTTTGTATATGTGCAACAAATTTTAAACACATCAAAATTAGGAAATAGATGTTGAAGTCATAGATAGAATTCTATATACTATCATCTCTGAGCATCACATGGACTGCTGAAAACTGATTTTCTGCATACATATCAAAGCAGATAGATAAGATATGATCACATCAGAGACCACATAATGAATAAAAATGGAAGCTTATCACACATTACCAGAACGTCCCACGTCTAGAATAATTTTATCATATACTAATCAAGGTTAACAGCAATACTAAGAATCAACATTTAATTTACTCAGGCAGTCAACTTTTGACAGTTCCCCCTCTGAAGAACATACTTTAAAAGAATTCAACAATTCTTTTAACTGAACAATTCTTTTAATTGAAAACTTTACCAAAAAAAAAGATCACTCAATCCTCACCGAAAAAATCCTATGAGTTACATATACTATTATTTTCCTCATTAACGGAGAAGAAAACTGAGACCCAGAGAGGTTAAGTGGCAGAACTGGACATCCAACCTAGGTTTTCTGACTCTAAAGCCAATGTTTTGAAACCACTCTACTTTACTAGCCTCAACTCTTTATCAGCTCTCATTCCCACAATTATAGTTACCTTTTCACTCAATAAATATTTACTGAAGTCCTACTGTGAGTCATTTGACAAAGCAGTTTTTAAAATTTCTGTGTTTCTGGAGCTTATATTCTAGACAGTGGTTCTCAACTGGGGATGACTCCGCCCCCCAAGAGACACATGACAATATATAGAGGCCTTTTCAATTGTCACAACTGGAGGGGGTGCGGAGACTGTGTGCTACTGGCATCTGCCAGGTACAGGCCAGGCATGCTGAACATCCTATGAGGCACAGGAAAGCCACGCACAACAAAGGATTATCCAGTCCAAAATGTTAAAAGTGCCAATCTGTTCTAGAGGGAAGATAAAAAGAAATAACATAGAATATGATATCTATACATATATCTTACATCTAGTACTGTATATTTCTTGAAAGTAAAAACCATGCTTTATTCTCCTTCATATCCCTCATAATGCCAAACTTAGTACCTTGCCCATAAGAGATGTTTAATAAATGATGAACAAAATAGAAATAAAGCAGTTGTTTTTCTGTATTACTACAGTCATGGCATAATACATGAAGTCTTCTTGTAAGATGCAAAGGGTTCAAACTAAACTTTTTCTCACCTTTGAAATCACATTCAGAAAGCATCAAATACACTACATCGGGATCCAGAGCAGAAAACATCTCTGACATACTGGTGAAGAGTTCTTCCTGATCAACTTTTGTCTCACACATGGAAAGAAGAGTAGTGGGTGGCTCCTCATGACTAGCAACACTGGATACAACAACTTCCTTAGAGTTTGCAGTCTTCTGAAAAGGATTTCCCCCAAGGCTTTTCCTTCTCCTTGGCATTCTGACTTCCAAAACTAAAATGTTTCCCCTTTCTTACTTAAGATGTTTGATATTTAAGTCATACCTCAAATAAAACAGGGTTAATTATCTTGCACAGTCCAGCAGTAATAGGACCTAAAATAGAAAGTAGAAACACTCAGACTATATAGTTATAGTTCCATCTAAAATTGGAGTAGCATCTTTATTTAACTCTAAGAGAATACCATCTACTCTGGCAGCAAAGCCAAAAAGCAGTCAAAATATTTCTCTCTCCAAAATATTCAAGTTTTGCCAGAATTGAACATGTTAAAAATTAGGATATTAAAAATGTATTTCCAGAGCAGTGCATATACTGCTTTAATATCATTACTTTATTTTTTTTAAACATAAAACAGTATTCATAATAAGAACATGACTGAACACCAACATCTGATGTCTAACAGGCATCATAAAATTAACATGTCCAAAACTGAGCTCCTGATCCTTCGTACCTGCTCTTCCCAGGCTTTCTCATCAATTAATGCAATCTTTCTAACTGCTCAGGTCAAAATCTTATAATAATTCTTGACTCCTTTTACCCCACATAAAATTAGTAAGCCAATTCTGTCAATGCAACCCTCAAAATGTAACCAGAATATGATCATTCTTTACCATCTCCACTGCCACCACAGCCTCTTACCTGGATTACTGTTAAGTCTCCTACCCAATGTCCCTGCTTCTGCCTTTGCCCCTTCAGTCTATGGAGCACAGCAATCAGAGTGACTAAGCTAAACCACAGGTCAGATCATGCTTCTGTTCAGCTAAACTATCCACTAGTTTCCCACCTCACTCAGGGTAAAGACCAGCGCCCTTAAAATGACTTATAACCCAGACACGTGTTGCTTCAGTGCTGCCACCCCAATCCTCTTTCCCTTGCTCGCATCACTCCAGCCACACATCACCTCCTTGTTCTTCAAACACACCAGCCATGCTCCCACCTGGGAACATTTATATTTTGTTCTATCTAAATCACTATTCTCCCAGGTATCTAGATTTATTTCATATCATTACTTGTGTGTTTCCTTCTCAGGAAATCAGCCCACTAACACCACTTATCCTTTCCTTACTTGAATTTTCTCCATTAAAGACTCACCATCTTCTAACATAGTATATCTGTGTATGTTTGACTGTTTGTTGCTTATTTATTTACTATCAGTTGACTGCCTGATTAACTGTATTTACTACTCATATTCTAAATAAATAAAGTGTAAGCTCCACAAGGGCAGGAACTCATAGATCTGGAAAATACTAAACAATCTATTTGGTTACTTTTCTTGGATATGTTTAATAAACATTTCAAACTTAACATTTCTTCAACTAAATGTTTCTCCCAAATTTGATCTAACCATATGGTCTGGCTACCATCATCTTTCACCTGTATTTGTCTCCTAAATGGTCTCCCTGCTTCCCAACCTTGTTCCAACAGTCTATTTTCAACATGCCAGTCACCAAGATCTTCATACAATATAATTCAAAATGAATCAGGGTCTGCTCTACATCTTCAAGTGGTTCTCCACGTCACTCAGAGTAAAAGCTAAAGTTCTTACAAGAGCCCACCTGTCTGCTGGTCTTTGACATTCTCTTCCCTAAGTCCGCATTGTTAATACTCTTTTTTAAATTATTATTCAAGTGTCACATTCGATTTCTTCCTTGATTACCCAATTTAAAATCATATTCCCCACTCCCTCTGTCCCATCCTCCCTCTCCTATTGATAACCACCCACTGCCCTTAACAATTTCTTACATACTACATAATTTACCTTTTAATTTAATTTATTATGTCATAGCTCTCTCCAACTTCCAGAACTGCAGTCAATATGGCAGCCACCAGCCACTTGTGCCTATTTAAACTTAATTAAAATTAAACAAAATTACATTTTTATATATTAATATCAAAGAAAGTAGAATTTCGGGCAGAACAGATTGCCAGAGACAGAGAAGTACATTATATAATCATAAAGGATCAGTCCACCGACATGACATAGTAACACTTATGTGTATTCATCAAACAGAGCCATCAAATAAACAAAGCAAAACTGACAGAATTGAAAAAAGAAATAGACAAATCCACAATTATAGTTAGCGACTTCAATACCCCTCTCAACAATTGATAGAAGAGAGAAAAAGATGACAAAGTAGGAAGGCAAAGCAGAACCCTCCTCCCAGGGTACAACCAAAGCAACTACAGCAAATACAACTAACCCTAAAAATGACTTGCAGATTGCAAAACAAGCCACCTACATCTGGGGAAGAAGAGAAGATAACACTGAGAAGGGTAAAGTGGCAGAATCACAATCAATCAGAACCCAAGCCCTTTCCTCCATCCCAGACCACAAGAAGGAGGGAGAAGAACAAAATGGGGAGAGGATAAGTGCTCAGGAATCCTGCACACCAGGCCCTGGAGATCCGCTCTGGGAACACAAGTCCACAGTGCATTGGGATTTGGTGATTAATGGGGCTAGACACCAGGCAAAGTAACAGTCATAAAGATGCTAACTGACCTGGAAAAAAAAAATAGAGGTGATCTCAGTGAGAACTTCAACAAAGAGATAGAAAATATGAAAAAAAGTCACTCAGAGCTAAAGAATACAATAACCATAATTAAAAATATAATGAAGGGAAGGAAAAGTAGATTGCTACCTATAGTGAAAAGAATCAATAAGATGGAAAAATAGAGAACAGGAAAACAACTAAGATAAGGAACAGAAAACTAAAAGAATTTCTAAGAATGAGAGGATGCTAAAAGAGCTGTGTGACAAATCACAACAAAACAATATTCATATTAACAGAAGTACCAGAAAGAGAAGAGAGAGAGAGAGAGAAAGAAGTAGAAAGTCTCTTTGAAGACATAATTGCTGAAAACTTCCAATCTGAAGAAGGAAACAGACACCCATGTCCTGGAAGAACAGAGAGCCCCTAACAAAAGGAACCAAGAAAGATACCACCAAGACATATAGTAATGAAGAAGGCAAAGATTAAAGATAAAAAGAATTTTAAAAGCAGCAAGAGAGAGGCAGGCAGTTACCTAAAAAGGCAATCCCATAAGGCTATCAGCAGATTTCTCAGCAGAAACTTTACAGGCCAGAAGGGAGTGGCATGAAATATTTAATGTATTAAAACAGAAGGACCTTCAACCAAGAATCCTCTACCCAGCCAGGTTATCATTCAGAATTGAAGGAAAGATTAAGTTTCCTGATAAACCAAAGTTAAAGAATTCACCATCACTAAACCAGCCTTACAGAGTATGTTAAAGGGATTTCTGTAGCTGGAAACATTCTTCAGCCTGAATACTTTTCATCAGTTAAAATAAACACACCGTAAAGGCAGTAAACCAATTCCTTACTAAGCAACTATGAAGTTAAAAAAAAAAAGAAAGTAGTAAAATCAACCATCCACAAAATCAGTCAAAGAATACACAAATAGTGCAGATTATAACATTTACTACATAAAGTGTGGAGGAAGAAAAAAAATAAGAAAGAAGTACTTTTAGACTGTGTTTGAAATAGAGCAGCCATCAACTTAATATAGACAGATATACAGGAAACTATGAACCTTATAGTAAACACAAACCTAAATACTATAATAAATACACAAAAAAATTTTTTAAATCCAAGCATAACACTAAAGAAAACCATCAAATAACAAGAGAAGAGTATAAGTGAGGAAGGAACAGAGAGAAACTATAAAAACAACCAGAAAACAATTAATAAAGTGACTATAAGTACATACCTATCAATAACTGCCTTACATGTAAATGGACCAAATGTACCAAAAGACATAGGGTGGAGGAATGAATATAGGCTGCCTACAAGGAACTCATTTCAGACCTAAAGACATATACAGACTGAAAGTGAAGAGATGGAAAAAGATATTTCATGCAAATAAAAGGGAGAAAAAAGCAGGAATAGCAGTACTTATATTAGGCAAAGTAGACTTCAAAACAAAGAAAGTAACAAGAGACAAAAATGGACATTACATAATGATAAAGGGATCAGCCTACCAAGAGGATGTAACAATTGTAAACATGTATGCACCCAACTCAGAGCACTAAAACATATAAAACAATATATACTAACAGACCTAAAGGGGGAAAGAGACAACAACACAATCATATTAGGAGACTTTAACACTCCACTTACATCAAAGGACAGATAATTCAGACAGAAAATAAAGAAGCTGAGGCACTGAATGACATATTAGAACAGATGGACTTAACAGATATATACAAGACTTCCACCCGAAAACAGCAGGATACACAGTTTTCTCAGGTGCACATATAACATTCTCCAGAATAGACCACACAGGATACAAAAACAGCACCAATAAATTCAAAAAGTTTGATGTAACAAGAATCTTTTCAGATCACAATGGTATGAATCTAGAAATCAATTACATGAAGAAAACAAAAAAAAAAACCCCATTAACACATGGAGGCTAAACAGTATGCTTCTAACCTCCACAAATGGATCAACAAACAAATCAAACAGGAAAGTAAGGAAGAAAGGAACAGACAGAAACTACAAAAACAACCAGAAAACAATTAATAAAGTGGGTATAAGTACATACCTACCAATAACTGCCTTACATGTAAATGGACCAAATGGACCAAAAGACATAGGGTGGAGGAATGAATTTAGGCTGCCTACAAGGAACTCATTTCAGACCTAAAGACATATACAGACTGAAAGTGAAGAGAATGAAATGAAATGAAATGAAATGAAAACACTGTTTACAATAGCCAATGGAAACAAATGAAAACAAAATTACAACAGTTCAAAATATGTGGGTTTTGCCCCAAAAGTGATCCTCAGAGGCATGCACATATGCATAAAAGCCTACCTCAAGAAACAAGAACACTCCCAAATAATGTCTAAACTCACAATTAATTAAACTGGAAAAGAACAAATGAAACACACAGTTAGTAGGAGGGACATAATAAAGATCAGAGCAGAAATAAAGAAAATAGAGAAGATTAAAACAATAGAGAAATTCAACAACCAAGAGCTGGTTCTCACAGAAAATAAAGAAAATAGATAAACCCATAGCCAGACTTATCAAGAAAAAGAGAGTACACAAACAAAATCAGAAATGAGGAAATAGTTGAAACAGATACCACAGAAATACAGAAGAAATTATTAGAGAATTCTATGGAAAATTCATATGCTAATAAACTGAACAACTAGACAAACTGGACCAATATTCCAGAAAACTGTAATCTTCCAAGACAGACCCAGTAAGAAACAGAAAATCTGAACAGACCAGTTACCAATAACAAAATTGAACTGGTAATCAAAAACTCTCAAGAAAAACACACCTCAACAAACAAAAAGCAAATAATCCAATTAAAAAATGGTCAGAGGACCTGAACAGACACTTCTTCAAAGAAGAAATTCAGATGACCAACAGACACATGAAAAGATGCTCCACGTTGCTAGTCATCAGAGAAATGCAAATTAAAACCACAATGAGATATCACCTCACACCAGTAAGGATTGCCACCATCCAAAAGACAAACAACAACAAATGTTGGTGAGGTTGTGGAGAAAGGGGAACCCTCCTACACTGCTGGTGGGAATGTAAATTAGTTCAACCATTGTGGAAAGCAGTATGGAGGGTCCTCAAAAAACTCAAAGTAGAAATACCATTTGACCCAGGAATTCCACTCCTAGGAATTCACCTTAAGAATGCAGAAGCCCACTTTGAAAAAGACATATGCACCCCTATGTTTATCGCAGCACTGTTCACAACAGCCAAGAAATGGAAGCAACCTAAGTGTCCATCAGTAGATGAATGGATAAAGAAGATGTGGTACATATATACAATGGAATGTTACTCAGCCATAAGAAGAAAACAAATCCTATCATTTGCAACAACATGGATGGAGTTAGAGGGTATTATGCTCAGTGAAATAAGCCAGGCGGAGAAAGACAAGTATCAAATGATTTCACTCATCTGTGGAGTATAAGAACAAAGCAAAAACTGAAGGAAGGAACAAAACAGCAGAGGACTCAAAGAACCCAAGAATGGACTAACAGTTACCAAAGAGAAAGGGACTAGGGAGGATGGGTGGGGAGGGAGGGATAAGGGGGGTAAAAAGAAAGGGGGCATTATGATTAGCATATATAATGTGAATGTGGGGGGGCACAGGAAGGGCTGTACAACACAGAGAAGACAAATAGTAATTCTGCAGCATGTTACTACCCTAATGGACAGTGACTGTAATGGGGTATGTGGGGGGGAATGGTGATGGGGGGAGTCTAGTAAACATAATGCTCCTCATGTAATTGTAGATTAATGATACCAAAAAAAATGCAAAGTACAATATTGTCAAGAAATGTGAGTTGGAGCTTAAGTTTGGTGTAGGATTATGTTCTGGTAGTAGAGCTGAAATGACAAAAAAGCAGTCTTAGGTAGTTATACAGATTAAGGAATTCATGCCATGAAATACATTAACACACTGGTTCATCAATGAAGTCTTGTTATTAAAAGACAAAACAAAACTACCAAATGAACTTAACAGTGTGTATAGTGATGTAGTAAGAATTTTCAATTATGTAAAGGTTAATGTATTAAATTTGGGTTATTCATTTCATTTTATGATAGTATGGAACTGATAATTAACAACTGTTATGACATTCTGAAAATGCTTAGAGGGGAAAGTGCTATCAAAAATGGTTGAACTACAAAGAGGCAGTTTGATCTCAATGTCTTAATGATTTTTTAAGCAGGCTTCATTAAAAACAAAAATGGCCATAAAATTAACATTTAATAAAGAGAAATAAATGGTTAAAAAAAAACTCTCAACAAATAAAATCTAGGACCAGATGACTTCACAGCTGAATTCTACCAA